TATATATATATATATATATATATATATATATATATATATTTTCTTTTTTAACTTTCTTACCTGGTCTTCCATTGCACTATAGAAGTCCCTAACTTGTTCTTCAGTGAGCACTGTCTTATCCTCTGTTGCTATGACAAATCCTGCATTGGTGATCTTCAATTAGAGAACAAAGTCAGATCCAGATGCGTCATGGGACCACAGGTAAAACAACTTAAGGATTTTTTTTCCCCTAAGCTTAACAAACCATACAGCTTTGAATGCATTTCATGTAAAAACCTCAGCAAAACTCGTAGGACACTAGCTTTGAAGCAGCTCAAAAATATGCAAAGACCATTTTCATGCCCCCTATATATTCGAGTGTTGAAGGCTTGACCAGAAACTCTGAAATATTTCGTATTAAAGTGAATTGACTCAAAACGTGAAAAAAAAAACAAAAAACTTAATTCCTTGGGAAAATATCATTGCTTTTTGAATCATTAATAAAGATAAACTTTATAAACACCTCTTAACCATCTAATTTCAAAATCATTTTAGCTTTTTTTAAGCTTTAATTTGTGAACCTATAACTCATAATCTAGTACTATTTACTCTCATAGCAATAGAAATGTCCAAATTATAAGGAAGCATAGAATTTAAAATTTAACCTTTACTTGTTTTAATGATAATTTAATTTAATGACAAAACTTGCCACTCAAGTGCAGTAAAATGTAACAAAAATAAGTTTAGAGGCAAACTATGGAAGCCCAATGAGGTACTAAACAATTAAGTAAAACTGGAACCTGGGTTCAAAGCAACACAGTAATTATACTGAACGATACTAGTAACGTAGCCCCATTTGCTCTAGGAGTCTCCAGCGCCAGGCCCATTTTGCTTCTGTTATAAAAGTGAACATTCTGCTGATTCACTGGTTTTGTTGATGTTGCAGAGCATCCCTTCCACCTCAGCGACCCCTCTTCTAACTGGCATTCCAATCTGAACAACTTCTAAAAACCCACGTCACGTCTTTGCTAAGTTACATGGTGCCTGACAACAGAAAATAAAATCCAAGCAACATTTAAACTTGATAAGTTCTCCTTTACTATAGTTTTAAAAATGCAGTGTGTTCATATTCTTCTTATTCCAAACATTCCTTATTTTCTTTCTCTCCTGTTCTGTATTCTTTTACTGTATTCCAGAGAGGTGAGGTCTTTAGTAGACATTCATTATGCCTGTGAAATGTTGTTTATTAAAAAAATTTAAATGAACTGATCGTTAACAGCATTGACTTAACTAAAAGAACTATGTAATTTTGAGGACTTTCACCATAGTGGCTATTAAAACGTACTCTGCTAAGGAACAGTAAACAATTCGTATGTGATTTTACTTTTAAAACACTTTATATAGTATCAGCTCTATATGAGGGGATGGGGGACAGTTTGGTGCCCCTCCCCACACCCACACACACACCAGAATCTGGGGGGAAAAGGCTATTCTTAGACTGATACTAATTAAATCCACCTATAATTGGAAGAGATAGCATATGTCCTGTGGATTTAACCAGTGCTAATGCTGCTACAGCTAAAGAACAAATGCACTACAGGAAATTCATCAAGAGAGCTCCACGCGCTCCTGGCACAGCTCCCTCTGTGATCTCCTCTATTGACTGTGCAGCATTCTCTCAAATTTCAATATAATTTTTTTGTTTCAACACAAAGTCATTTTTCAGGGGTCACCAAACTATAGCCTGCAGTCAAAATCTGGCTGACCACCTGTTTTTGTCAAATAAAGTTCATTGGATCACAGCCACTACCACTCACGTTCGCGTGGTTTACTGCTGCCTTCTCCCTAGGATGGCAGAGTTAAGTGGTTGTCCAAGACCACCTGCCAAGCAAACCTGAAAATAGTTACTATGTGACCCTTTACAAGAAAGGTTTGCTGACGGCTGAATTAGAATGTAATTTTCCTCTATTAAAAAAAAAAAAAGTTTTCTTTTGGCTCTAAAGCAAAATGCTTCCTTAGAAGGACCATACATTTGTAACAACATACAAAGAATAAAGCAAGTAAATGTGAGTTTAAATCAAGATTGCATTGTTAATAATTAAACAAGAATATCTGTTACAGACCAATATAAGAACTATGATTTTTACTATTTCTATAGGATACTGGTAGAGCAGGGTTAATTTAAACAAGGATGTGTGAATAGACGGAGCCATTGTAAAGATATAAAATGCTCAAAGCCTTTAGAGGTACCTAGCACCTATAGTTCATTATTTTTGATTTTACTCTAAATGATAAGATTGTCTCCAAATTAACAACTGAGGGGCTGTTATTTTGCAATGAATTTAAAGTATTGTTGTCAAATATACTTACGTTTTCTTTAATTTCTAGAGCTTTTCTCACAGCATCAGGTTTGATGATAGCGATACTGTATTGTTCCTCTAGAAAAAAATGAATTTGATTTTCTTGGCACAAATTCTGCAGAATTAAGGAGCTGGCAATTAGAAATGTAAATTCCAAATGTCCAGTGATGTTTTTGACCATTGATAGCTTTGTATCTTATTATGGCATTTCAACTACCAAAGAATTTCTACTTAGGATCAAAGTGTAGTTCCTATATTTCCACTCAGGGGAAACATTCTGAACAGTTTTTAATCAAGAAAAAAAAAAAAAAAAAAAAAAAAAAAGAGAGAGAGAGAGAAGGTAAGCACTGGTGGTTTGAATGCAATTGATATGCACTGGAATCACACCCATGATCCATCTAGCTCAGTGTCACCCGTGAGCGAGGTTTCAAATGTGTATTAAGCAAGTAAACATGACAAACTGACAGATTTACCATCTATGACCGTGTCTGCATTCTTAGGATGAGCTCTGAGTGCAATCCAGCTCACTGATTGTGGCTGTTTGCCTTCACTCTCTCTGGAGAATGAACACAGGCGCCGTGCATGCACACATACATACACAGCTAATCCAGTGAAGGCATGAAATCATTAACAGCAAAGCAAACCAAGAGTGTGAGTCATCAAAGAAAGCATTTCCACAAGTTTGTGGAAGATGTTGAAGGATGAAATAGGAAGCTGCTGTCCAGATTAGGCATGAGTCATCCTTTTTATACTGATTAACGCTGATGTTGGCACCAGCTTTTTGCTGCTGCGGGTGATGCTGTAATGAGACCCCGTGTACAAAAAAGTCTTGCTGTTACTTTAAATTTCCTTACCAGCACTTTCATATTGGGCATCCCCAGCATCTTCTGAATCTGAGTCTGCTAACAAAATTTCATGGTACTGTGAAAGAGAAATGCAAGGAAAACAGTTTTATTTTAATAGATAGTGAAAGAGTTTTTAGAAATTTTGTTTCTGGTAAATATTTATAGCCCAATGAATAGAAGATAAAGTGGAAAGGTGTCTACATTTAAATAACACTACTTTCCCTAGCTTTCCATGGAAATGAAATAAAGGATATTTTTAAATGGTGGGGGTAAAGAGACTATCAGAAATAATGCATTCGTACAATCTTAAAAATGGCAAACAAAAACCCTTAAAATTCAAGAACATGAGGGAAAAATAAGAAAGATGAAGAGATTAACAAATAAGAAAGCAGTCAACGCATAATTGCCATGTTAAAAATCAAAAGAGCATTTTATAAGTTTCCAGATCCATTCCTGACCATTGCTGTTAGTAAATTTGGAACAGAAGGATACCTCTTTATCTTATAATAAATGTCTTTCTCAAACAAATAGTCAGTATCCTATTAAAGAGTAAAATACTGGGAAGGTTCTTAGCTTCTAGGGAAGCTCTGAATATGCTTCTGTGATTCTGAGAACTACCTGGAAGCTTTCATTTTTACATATATACATGCATACATATGCCATATTTACATATACAGTCATGTGCCTCATAACGATGTTCTGGTCCACGATGGACCCCTTATACCAGAGTGGTGTCATAAAATTCTAATGGAGCTGAAAAGTTCCTATCGCCTAGTGACATAGCTATCGTAATGTAGCACAAGACGTTGCACGTGTTTGTAGTGATGCTGGCTAGGAGCAATAGCCTGCACCATATAGAAGGTGTGTGGTAGGCAACACCTTCTAGGTTTGTGTACGTACGCTCTATGATGTTTACACAAGGATAAAATCACCAAATGATGCATTTCTCAGAACATATCCCTGTCTTAAGCAATGCATGCCCGTATACATTTTTTTTCTTGCAAAAGAATGCATAATTTCAGACTCTCCAATGGACTAAAGATCAAAAAAAAAGTTTGGAAATCACTACATTGAAAGAATTCACTCCTATTATAATAAGGACCCATGCTGGCCAATAGGGCAGCCATTAACCACGTGAGACTACTTGAACACTTGAAATTAGGCTAGCCCAAATTAAGATGTGCTATTAATGTAAAATACACAGCAAATTTCAAAGGTTTAATATGAAAAAAGAATATAAAATACCTTATTTGTAAGTTTTATTTTGAACACATTTAAATGGGAACATTTTGAATACGTTGGATTAAATAACATATTGTTAAAATTAATTTTACTTGTTTGTTAATGTTTTTAATGTGGTTACTAGAAAATTTTAAAGTATGTATGTGGCTCGCATTGCAGCTTGCATTATATTACTGTTGAACAGGTCTGTGCTGGACAAGGCGTTAGATAAGAGCTAAATAACAGAAGTGTCCAAAAAAATGGAATGATAGAAAATAAACATAAGATATTGATGAATTTCTTACATAACCACTGTTATTAATTAAAACAGAATGTCATACTGCGAGAACGGTGAGAACAGTAAAAATAAGAACAAGACAAATGAGACGGAAATCACAGCCACAGAGCAGGGCACACATTTGGCTGCTGCACAGATGGCGGCAATTCGGTGGGTGTGTTTGGGTGTCATTGCGCCTGGCTTCAAGCTCTGGTTTCGCCACCTACTAGTTGCCTGTTTTGGAGGAAAGAGCTTAATGTTTCTAAGCCTGGTCATAAGATCACTGGAAGTATTCAGTGATGAGACTTGTTTGCAAACCTTAGCAAACAGCAAGTCCTTATGATTGTTAGCTCTTAACAATTTTCAAAAAAGTAAGGGGAAGTGGGAGGCGAGAGGGTGAGAGAGGAAATAGTGAGAGGGAGAGGGCAGGTCCCTGAACAACAAACTTGATAAATTAAAGAAAACATCTCGTATGAGAAAAATCACTATTGCAAATGTAAATTTCCCATTCATTTGTCACTTTTCCATCAAAATGTTCATTTATTTTTCTTAATGCTCATGAGGTACTGCGCACACTATGGATTAGCACATTGATGCATATAGTGCAATTTTTTTTTTCTTTTTCAGTTTGCTGCATTTCCATCAAAATGTTCATTTATTTTTCTTAATGCTCATGAGGTACTGCGCACACTATGGATATTAGCACATTGATGCATATAGTGCAATTTTTTTTTTCTTTTTCAGTTTGCTGCTTTTCTTTCACATATTAGGGTGTACTTGGAAGTTTTAAATACTAATAAAACCTATCAATCTCTCCTTTTTGGTTTCTTTGTTTCATGTTATGCTTAGAAGGCCTTCCTTGACCTATGACAATATAAATGTTTGCCAATATTTTCTTCTAACACTTTAATTTTTTTTATATTCAGCCCTTTAATACATCTGGAATTTATTTATGTATATGATATGAGGAAATGATACACCTTTTTTTCTACAAATAGTTAATCCAATATGCCTAAACCTGTTCATTGAATTTTTTATCCTTTCTTGATTTGAGCCAACCTCTTACAGCAAATACGTGTACCAGTCTGAGACTATGCCTTCTCATTGTTTCTATTTTGCAACATGTTTTGGCTAGTATCCCTTGTTTTTTATTTGCTTGTTTGTTTTGTGTGTGTGCATTTTAAATAACACCAGTCCCTCCTGTTTCCTCTACCCATATATATTTCTGATCACTTTCCTATGTGGCTTATTTATTATGCTACTATGCGCATTCTTCTACATTGCTTTATGGCTCATTTCTTAATTTTAAACTGTTTTATTTCTTATATTATAGGTAATAATAACATTACACAGATAATCTACTACACAAAGGATGTTACCATAAGTTTCCTTTTAAAGTGTACTCTTTTTTAATTCATCGATTTATCCCTTTTTTTTTTTCTTTATCAATAGAGGTAGAACACATAAAATAATATACCACTCTATGGATTTTTGAAAATTTATGACATAAATTGTATACATTTTACATAATCTATTCACTGTGGCTAGGCATTAGGTTGATTCCAAAATTTTAATATAGAAAACACTGCAATAAACATCCTTTCTTATGTTTGTCCCATCTTCTTAGGGCAGATTAATGGAGAGTAATTGCTGAGTCAAAAGACATACATGTGCCATTGATTCACATTACCAAAATGCTTCCCGGAAAGTTTGCATTATTTAGAAACCTAGATAGTTATAAATAAGGTTAGGAAAAATGCTTTAGGAAAGCAACAAAAAAGCTAATGCATTTAAAATTAAAATAATTGTTCATTAAAGCATTACCTGAGGGCGAACCATTTCACCCGCTGCAATTTTCTTCTCTTCATTGACCAAGCTAATAACTTTTTTATTAACAAGTGGTGCATTTGCACCCTGGATCTTCGCAATAATCTTGCCATTCTATAAGTGAAAAGAAACACAAAGGACGCTTTCATTTTCACAGTAAGTCAAAATTAACACTTAAACTGGACTGAGTTGCCCTCCCTTCCCCCATCCCCACTAACTCTCTTTTACCTGCTATAATCAGCCATTACATAGAAAAGAGTTAATGCTGAGAAAGTTCTCTGTGATTTGGTAAACGCAGCTCTTTGAGTCCTACCTCCCATCTGTCTGTCCTCCAGCACCTTGCACATGCACTCTCTGCTGAGGCATCGCCATTTAAAATTTGAGAGTTTAAGGATGGGCCTCCCAACATCACCTTTCCATAGTTATTTTTGACATCATGCCCCTTGTTCATCTTTCAACACATATTTGCTAAGCTTCTGTTTATTTATCAGGCATGAAGGTATGGAATAGTCGGCCTGGTGCCTCACCTCATTAAATCACACACACACACACACAAATCCAAAAAACAAAACAAAAATACCAACCCGCAAACACATGTGAAATAGCAACTGTGACAGGTACCAGCAGGAAAGGTGCAAGGAGCTCTCACAGCAGCTACAAGAAGGTGTCCTGGTCAAGGAGCTCAGGGAAGCTGCTTCTCAACATCAGAAAGTGACTCTTGGTTTAAAAAGTGAAGATGGGTAAGAGATAACTAGGCGAGAAGGGGAAGAAGAGCCCTCCAGGCAAACGGAATTGCAGAAGCGAGAGTCCTAAGGCTGGAAGAGAACATGGCAAGGAGGACGCTGGTTGAGAAAGTGAGGTGGAGCCTGGGATGAGACGAAGCCCAATACCTAGGGGGAGCCAGACCCTGCAGAGCTTGTGGGCCATGGAAGGATGCAGCCTTCATCCTAAATGTTCTTGGAAACCTTTGGAAATTTAAACACAGGCTGTGACCACAATAGAGCTGTTGTTTGTTAAAATCATTTCACCCAGTGTGTGGAGAGCAAGAGGTTCTTGTCAAGGTTCGACGAGGAGCAAGAGACGATGTCTGCATACAAGGGAGGAGATACTCTGGAGGTGGAATGGGGACGATGGTGCCCAGTCCATGGCAGCAGTGGTGGTGATGGAAAGAATGGAAGGAAGTGGATGAGGGTTAGAGAGACTCAGGCAGTGACAGGTCCAAGGTACAATTTGGATTGGGTGTGATGTAAAGAGAAGACACAAAGATGACTCTTCTGTTTTCCTCTTGAAAACTGGATAAATCATGAATTACGATGTTATTCAGCAAATGAGGAGACACTAGAGGAAAACCACATGTTGTGGGGAGGAGGGCCTGGTGTTGGACAAGTTCGTTTTGAGATCCCTTTCAGAAAATCAAGAGGAGATGTCATGGCACCTGTTGGGTACACAAGTCTGGAGCTCAAAGTGCAGCATTTAGCTGAAGATGCAAACTCACGTTATTGACATACAGGTGGTGGTAATTGAAAGTGTGTGCGGAGGAAGTTTTCTAAGGAGCATACATAGCACAATAAGGCCAATATTTAATGGCTCAATAAAGAAGGGTGAACCTGCAAAAGAGAAAGAAGGGAGTAGCCTCCAGGACAGTGAAAGCAAAATCAAGTGTCCCAGCCAAAAGAAGCAAGTGTTTCAAAAGGGGAGCACGGTCACCAGATTCAACACATTTGAGAGGTACAGAACCACAAAGATCTAAAAATTTCCATTGTATTTAGCAACGGGCTGGTCATTAGATACACTAGCAACAGCAACTTTGGTGGAATAATCAGACAGAAGTCAGATTGCATGGGTTGAGAAGTTAATGGGATGGAAAAAATCGAGTAAAAATAAATATGAAAACTCTTCTGAGCAGTTTGATTGTGAGATCAAGAGAAGTGGGTGGTAGATAGAGAGGGCACAGCATCAGAAGGAAGCATTACTCTTAATTGGGAAGATTTAATCACATTCCAAGGCCAGCGAGAAGGATCCAGATAAGAAAGGTTTAAATGAAACCTGAAACTCTTAATTACCATTTCCTACTAAAAGGAATCTTTCAACAATTCTGTGAGCGTTCTAATATCCCTTGAAAAAAACATACTTGCTGAAACTTGCTGGGATGAAGCTGTTGTCAGCTAAGAAAGCTGACCAATACAGGGAGCTGCTGTGACATCTGAATAAACAAGCAACAGGCTTGTTGGTTTGGCAGTCAGAGAATGAGATTCTTTTTTTTTTTTCCTTTTTGTCTTTTTTACTGACCGGTAATGGGATCGCAACCCTCGGTGTCGCGCCCGCACTGGGGACCGGCAATGGGATCGCAACCCTCAGTGTTGCGCCTGCACCGTGCTCACCCAGTGAGCGGGAACCGGTCTCCACATGGGATCCGAACCCTCAGCGGGAGCGCCGCTGTGCTCTCAAGTGGCGCACTCTCCAGTGTGCCACCGGGCCGGCCCAGAGAATGAGATTCTTAATGCTTATGGATGTGGAGTAGTGGGAGATAAAACTGTCTGAGGCATGACTGCAGGAGAGATTGGAGGAGATGTCCAGGAAGAAAAGTTCACTGGCAGTAAGGGGGTCAAGAATTGAAAGGTCAGGGCTTTGAGTGCGTTGCAATGTGGACACTGAAGTCCCCAGCATGACGGCAGGACTTGGATTTGAGCGTGAGACTTTGATCCATGGGCTGAAGTCTTCAGTCATCAATAGAACTGATTTGAAGGTCAGTAAATGATGGGAGTGAAGTGGAGGAGAAAAGATGCAGCCAAATAAAATGAACCCCTAATTAGCAGGGAAAAGAAAGTTATTGAAGTAAGGGAAATACCAATTCTACTCCTGGCCCTGAGAAACAAAAACTGAAAAATGTCATCACTCCTGGGGTACAGAGAAAATGTCTTAAGGAAGGATCCACATACAAGGTAAGTCAAGGAAGTAAAGCAAAATCTCAGAGACATGGTCAAAGATCTCAGGAAGTTTGCTAAGTGCCTATGTCAATTCTAGATGTCACAGAGTGAAATGACTTAGGAGATTTGGGGAGAATTGGGGGATTGGGTCAGGAAAGGAATGCATTAGAAGAACAACACTGCATGGCTGGGAGGAAGGATGGACTTACACTTTGGGCACTGATTACAGGGATTAGAGAACATGGGCTGGATGGTCCGTTTGAGGAGAGCGGGCATGTATCTGCTGGGCAGACCTGGCTCAGATGTCAGGGTGAAGCCTATCCCAGAGCTCCAGGCTCTCCAGGATGATCCACCCACCCACCTTCCATCCTGAGTCCCTTCTTCCTGACAGCTACCTGCTGCTGGAGTCTGTTCATTGTTCCATGAGCCCATCAAGCCCATTTCTGTCTTTGTGCACTCATTCTGGAACCCTAAAGTACATCAAGGCCCAAAACAGAAACTGTATTTCTACAAAGCTTAAAATATTTATTACCTGGCCCTTTACAGAAAAATTTGGCTGATCCTCATCTAAATCATCAAACTCTACATATCCAATATAGAGCAAGAGCTACAATGCATTTTCTTTTTTTTTTTGTCTTTTGTCTTTTGTCTTTTTTCCGTGTCCGGCAACAGATCGCAACCC